TTATTGTTATTATCATCATCATTTTCATTATTCTTATTCTTATCATTATTATTATTATCATCATCATCAATGTCATCATTATCATCATTATTATTATTATCGTAATTATCAGCATTATTCTTATCATTATCATCATCATTGTATTATTTTCATCATCATTATTATCATTATAATTACTATTAGTAGTAGTAGTAGTTACATCATTATCATTATTATCATAGATTTTATTATCATTGTCATTGTTGTCATTATCGTTATCATTGTTATTATCATTATCATCATTATTATCATCACTATAGCCATTGTTATTACTATCATTACTATCATCATTATCATTATTACTATCACCATGATTATCAATATTATTATTATCATTATCATTATGATCATTATTATTAATATTATCATTGTTATGATGATTATGATCATCATAATCATTATTGTTATTTCCATTATGATTACGATTGTCATTATTATCATTATTGTTACTACTATAATTGTTATTATCATTACCATCATTATTATCATTATCATCATTATTATCGTTAATATTATAATTTTCGTTATAACCATCCTGCCATTACAATCATTATTGTTCTTATCACTAAACTTATAATCCTTACCATTGCTATCAGTATCAGTATCATTATAATCATCATTTTCATTATCATTGTTACTCTAATCTTTTCATATCAATAACCCCATTTCATATTACTAATTGTATTGTTATTATCATAATGGATGGAAAAAAAATCTTACTATTTCTGTTATCATTATTATCGTTAATATTATCATTATTGTTGTTATCATTATCATTGCTATCATCATTCTTGCTGTCTTTATCATTGTTATTATCATCATTATCATTGCTATATTCATTACTATTTTATTACTTTATCGTTATATCATTATTTTCATTATTGTTATCACCATCATTATCATTTTTATCAATATTAGTATCATCATCTTTATAATCATTATTATTTTTTCGTTGTTGCTATTGTTATCGTTATTACTAATATCATCATTATCCTTCTTCTTATTAGTATCATCATTATTATCACTATCATCCGTATGGTTATCATCATCATTATCATCACTGTCATTATTACTATCATCATTAATATTAGTAGTATTAGTGTTAGCATTAGAATCATCACCATCGCTATCATTATTACTTTTATTGTTTTTTTCATCATATTATTATTATTATCATTATTATCATAATTATAATAATTATTATTAGCATTATCACTATTGTTATCATTATCATTGTCATTAGCATTTTATCATCATTGTTATTATTATCATTATTGCTATAACTATTTTCATTCATCATTGTTATTATCATAATTATTGTTGTTATAATCATAATTATCATCGTCACTAACATCATCATTATGATTATTATCATTATCACTATTATTATAATTTACATTATCATTGTTATTACTATTGTTGTTTTTATCGTTTTTATCATTACTATTATAATTTCATTCTTATTATCACCATCATTATTGCTATGATTATAGTGTTATTTTTAGCATTACTATCATCATTATCATTACCATCTATCATCAACATTTTCAACAATAAACATTATGGCAACAAAACCTACTGTTTGAGATATACATGGATGATAAAATAATACTAAATACAATACAAAAAATACATCAATTACATTATGGTTAAATGTCTCAAATGTTCAACAACTGCGTCCATAGTTTGTATTGTTACGCCCCCCCCCCCCACACCCTCCCGTTCCCGTAGTTGCTGTATGGGGGTGGGGGGGGGGTAAGGAGACGGAGACGGGGACCCAATGGTGGGGATCACCCCTGCCTTGGGCCCCTTCCCTAGACTTAACTAATTTTCTGATATCATTTCTTCCCCTTGTCGTTTCCCTCTTCTCCCCAGCCCCTTCTACTGTCCACTTCCCAGAGTGTGAGAGCCGTGTTGAAAGGGTGAAAGGCTGATTTGTGCCAGGAGTGAACGGCCCGGGGTAGTCTGTATTACCCTGTTTACTTGTCTTGTCCTTACCCCTCAGTGGGACCCTGAAGGAAGAGAAACAGCCCACCCGACTGTTTTTCTTCCTCACATACTCCAGGCTTACCATGGCCAGTAATGACGATTTTGCACACTTATTGGTGGTATTGAGTCTTGCCCCTTTATCAACTACAGATCTAAATTCAGGCTCTGCTTTGACCATGACTCTTAACACTGCTTCTTCTATCCACTCCTCAATGCTTAACATCACCTCAGTCCAGTCCAAAACCATCCACTCGGGTCATTACTCAGCCTCAAGAAAGGAATCCCCCTCTCCCAACATTCTCTACTTCATCTACTCCACCCCACAGCTTTCTTCATCTAGTACTCCCTCCTCCCTTTTCACTACTCTGCAGCCTTATTGTCAAAGTCTCTGCAGTACTACTTCTCTTAATACTACTCCCTGTTCCTCACGTCCCCGTACCTTCTACTACCCCACCTCTACAAACCCTTGGAGTACTCTGTTTAGCCCAGCCAAACGGGATGGATTTTCCGTGATCCCCTCAACAGCCCCTTACTCTGACAACACTCTCCTGTTCCAGCAATGCCTCCAAGAACAAGTTGGCAAAGTTTCCTTCCGTAACCGCCCCGATCACTCCCTCCTTGTCAAGCTAAAGCATTATCTACTCTGATTGACTTCATTAGCAAATCCAATCATACCTAGCCTCATCCCTTCCTCAGTACTTGCACTGGAACTGTCTCCATCTTCCGAGCGGATTGACATGTCTACGACAAGGATCGGTCAGACTGTGGAGAAGACTTGCTCCACACTGCTACGCCATCCCCCTAGAGGCCGACGTAAGTTATCCACCAATATTGCCAAGATTACTTTCCTTAGCTATGACCTCCCCCTTAATGAGTCTCTCTCTCTCTCTCTCTCTCTCTCTCTCTCTCTCTCTCTCTCTCTCTCTCCTGCTCCGTCCGACACATCAACCTCCCACCGTCTAGGACACCCTGCCAAACCATGCCGCTCCGTAGCCCTATGCCCTCTGTGTGCCAACCTGGTCATGATCGATCAAACTGCTCTGCACAGTCACTCACATGTGCCAGTTGTGGTGACTCCCTTACTGTACTTTATAGGGGCTGCCCTTTCTACAAGTTTGAGTCTGATGTGGCAAGTCTCAGATTCTAACTTGACCACTTTCGTGAGGCCAGACAGGAAGCACGCAGACGAGGTTTCTGTCTTACAAGATGTTTTACACCTCCCTTAGTATCTCTTCCTCATCCCACCCCCCCCCCCCTCTCTATCTACCAGTCAATTTCTTTTGCCATTCTAAATCCAGACACCCCAATCTCTACCACTATTCCAGACACTCCAGTCTCTACTTCGCCGGTACCTACCCCTCTTGCTCCTCGCTCAACTCATCGCACAAGACAAGCTAAACGTTTCACTTATCTTCTCCTACTGCATCCTCTCCTACATCAGCCTCTCCCACTGCCCCTATCCCCTCTCCTCCGCTTCATAAGTGGTTTCTCAGACCTCCCCCGACCAACTCGACACGGAAATTCTCGAGGATATTCGAAACTACCTTATCATGACCCAAAATAAGATGCCTACAACTCATCTGCTCCCATTATTTCTACACTCAAAGTAACTGCCGATGTCCATCCTCCTACTCATGTTCCTCCTTTACGTGTTATACGGAAGGCTTTTGTTGATTTTGTTTAAGAGGTGGCGTTCGATGTGATACTTTGATGGAGAAACATCTAGGTATAAGAAAACAAAAAATAATAAATAATCACAGACACGTACGCATACGTGCACGAAAACTAATAGTGAAAATAATTACAATATTTCTTATTGTTTGCTCTCTATATATTAATCATTTTTCGGTTTTATGTGCCCGCTGTCCATCCGCTTTCCCTGACATCTAAGATACACCGAAAGGGTACTGCTAGAAGGTCTCAGTAAGCACTATAGGCAGGACCGAGGCACATACATACATACATATATATATATATATATATATATATATATATATATATATATATGTGTGTGTGTGTGTGTGTGTGTGTGTGTGTGTGTGTGTGTGTGTGTGTGTTATGTTTGGTGTGTGTTTTTGTGTGTGTCGTGTTTTATGTGTGTGTGTGTGTTGTGGTCGTGATCGCGGAGATGGGGGGCGGCGGCCACGGGGCACTTTTGGAAAGACTGAAAGATGCCACAAGAAGGACAGGAAGGACACCGTTAGAAAGGTCACTAAGACACCGCCAGAGGAGTCGAAGGACACCACTGGAAGGGCAAAAGGGACACCACTGACAGGAAGGGAAGGACATTATTGATGGTTCGTGCTTATGGTAGCATCAGGCCTTAATCCGGCCCTTTAGACACATAGCTGTGTGTGTGTGTGTGTGTGTGTGTGTGTGTGTGTGTGTGTGTGTGTGTGTGTGTGTGTGTGTGTGTGTGTGTGTGTGTGTGTGTCTGTGCATGCGTATATATATGTATATGTATGTATATACATGTATATGTATGAATGAATGAATATTTTTATATATCGATATAATATTTATATATACAAATAATTATTCAGTGAAATGCTCTATAGATAATGTATAAAGTCACATGGATCGACAAAGTAGAGATGTGTGAATACTGGTGTATTTGTCATACCTTTTAATTCATCATTTTGATACAAAATTCCATAATCAACAAAAATGTCTCGGCAAATATTCCAAGATGTCAACTACATGCAACAGACATCACAAACCTCTTATTGAAAATCGAATGACTTTCTCCTCTACCAAAAAACAGTGAATACATTTAATTCAATACTTTTACGCCAACCCAAACACCTTATCCAATCCCTAAACCTCCTTTAAAACTCTCGAATCCCCTCTAATACGATCCAACCCCCAACGAAAAGAATCGAATCCTCAAAACAAAACCCAATCGCTTCAAGAGGAATCAGAACCTACTCGAATAAAATCCAGTTCCCTTTACCTATAAATTCCTGAAAGGCTGATCCCATTCACCAGGCTCCCTTGTTTTCATGAATGAACGTGAAGGTGCCTCCGAAAACACAAGGAAACACGTCGAGACAAGAGAGACAGTACGCACTTGCTCCCTCGCCTCGTAGGACCGCGTCTCAGTTTTAAAAGGAATTCCAAGGGTGAACTGCCTTAGGGAGAGCAGGGAGGGATGGCCGAGGCGACGAGTAAAGATAATGTGGCAGCGGAAGAGAAGGAGGAGAGTGAAGGTGAATATATATCGGTTCCTTATTTGAAAAAATGGGTTTTATTTGCATATTTTAGTTTCGTTGACGTTTTTGGTCGGGTTTTGGGAGCTTGTCAGTTGTTTTTTGTTTCTTTCGTGGGTGTTTTATGTGCTGTCGAGAAGGGATATGAATTAATCTCCCTTTTTGTGTCTTGCATTCTAATTTATGTCTGTGCTAAATAAACAAAGGAATTAGATAGCTGGTCGGTGATGTAAAATTTTATAGATGAGAAAGAAAATGTAATTTTATTCATTTACAATGTCGGTGGTTCTTCCATGGTAAAACTGAAGCCTCTATGTGCATGTGAAGCCAAGATTTATCATATTGAATAAATTTGGAGTGAAGGTAAAATTTTCCAAGACCTTGCAGTATCTTTTTCCTCTCTGAAAATTTTATTGGCGGTGTTCTGTCTAATTTACATGAATTTCAAGCACGACCAGGTATTGAGTCAGTGTCAAGCAGTTGCAGGGGCCTCTATGCCTTTGGTGGTCCAGCAAAGGACAACAACCTTTCACCATGGATATTTGGGCAAGATAGTGCTTTTAGTGGTGTTTTTATGGGAATTTTAGGGTGAATTGCTACAAGGGTCTGCAAGTTCAGGCGTCCTATATATTCTTGAGGAGCTTTGTTGACCTTTGACGGAGTACCAAAGGCATGGAGGCTACTATTGGTTAAAATAAACAAAAAAATTTCTGTGATAAAATTATTATTGTGGTATGAGTATGATTATGGTTGTTGAATATACATGCAGAATAAATGAATTTTGAGGCATTTTTCTTTCATTGTTGTCAAAAAATGAAAATGAGGAAGGGTACTTACGCAGATTAAGGCTTCACAGAGATAAAGAAATATTGATGTAACATTTATGAAGAGAACATTCAGATGACCACTTTGATTTAGAAAATAATGTGTGTAATAACTTTTAAGAATGGTGTTGTGGTTATAGCGGGAGGAAATTTGTCAAATATAGAAGTGGATATAGCTGTATCATTAAGAACGAAGAAGTTGCAGGAAAATGAAATCCAGTTTTTGACAGGCTCTACGTAATCATGGCGACTATGATCAGAAGCATGAAGCATGAAATCCTCAACATTTGACCTATCTGGTGCAGTCATATAATCTGAATGATTGCTTGTGAAGTTAGCTATTGTATGAAGTGATTAAAACAGTTGAAAATGGGACATGCTTTTCATCACAATGTTCATAACTATAGTGTGTACAGTTTTCAATTTATTGCACTTGTCAGAGCAGTAACATAAGGAGGCTATGGCTGTTTATTATATTTATTGGTCTATTTATGTTACTGCGTGTTTGTACAAGACTGTAGTGTTACAGCATTTTTTTTTCTTTTAGACAAGGAATTTTTAATATGTTTATTTTATTTGTACTTTTTCTGATATGATCAAAAAGTAACATTTAGATTTAGGAGAGAATAGATATTATTAAAAGTAAAATCTGGTTGAGTTTTTTTTATGTTGTCTAAAACCATTTTAACCCCCCAAAATTATAAAAGATGAATAGATTTTATCAGAAATGTTTTATCAAAGCCTTATTGGTATGGACATACAGTCAGAGATTGGATAACATTAGAGACATCTAAACTAGACGTATGCTTCTCGACAAAAAGGGTAACAAAGATGACTGCTAACTGACCGATACCTAAAATCAGATTACAGTTGATACCAGATATGAGCAGGCTTGCATTTATCATCTTTTCTATATTTCAGCAGAAAAAGAGAGCCCACAACAAACCCCAGTTCCACCCCAGAAGAGAGATGACGAAGAAGAACTTGAATGCGCAGTCTGTCTCCAGAAATGTGTACATCCCGTGCGCCTGCCTTGTTCGCACATATTTTGTTTCCTGTGTGTAAAGGTAAGATTATTTTGTTGTTTTTGTTATTTTTCTATTGTTATTGTTGTTATATATTTTTTATTGCTATTTTATATAGATTTTTTTATTGTTATTGTTATGATGTAT